GGTGCTGGCTGCTCAGAGGGGCCCTGGGCGGCCTGGCCCCCTGGGGGGGAGGGGGGTACAGAGCGAGGTCCTGTCCCTGCGGGCCCAGCAGGCCAGGGAGCTCCTGCTTGGTCTCAAAGTGGATGGGATGTGAACACAGAGGGAGGAAAAACCCTACGGCCACCACCCATATCTTTCCTTAACCAAAAATTGAGACTTGTAACAATTCTAATATGCTTGTGGGCGCAATGGCACGGAATCTTTGAAACCCGGACTGTCCGGGAAAATTCTGGATGTGTGCTCAGCGGAGCTGCAGCCACCCAGGGGGACTGTTGATAATTCCGGAACCTCTGCCTCTCCCCACTTCCTGCAGGCCCTGCACTTGGAGCCTCAGCTTCCAGCATGTTCCCCATGACACCCCCACATCAGGAAAGAGAGCACGCTCGGGGGTCAGCTGCCCGAGGATTGGTCAGCTCCAGCGGCTTGGAGAATCCTTGCTCTCAGCTTTCAGGAAACACCAGCTCTGCCAGGAACAGACGTGCTGAACGCTGCCGCCTCCCCAGGCAGCCCGGCCTCCCTCTTACGTCAGCTCACAGTAATGCACCCTGACCCTCCACAGGCTCCCATCGGGCGGCACCCACCCCTCCCTCATGATTCACCCCAGACAGGCCCCAGGGGGCGCAGAGGAGCGCTGGGGAGGATGGGTGGGCAGCCCACTCCAGGCCCAGGGATTGGAGAGGGACCGGAGTTAGGGGCGAGCCATTGGCAGGGATGGGAAGCCGGCTTGAGAAAGAACTGTCCATTCTATGGCTGGACTGATTCAATTAAAAATAAAAAGTCCTGCTGGCTCCCTCTCAGCCAAGGGGAACCCTGCTTTCCCAGGAGTTCTGCCAGCTGCTGAGCACATCGGTTCCAATTACACACTTTGGAAGTAGGTGTGGACGAAAAGGGCCGCATACTAAACCTGACAGGCTCAGGGGAGGCCGGCGATCCACTATAAAGTAACCATACAGCCCGAAATTAACTTTCTAGCTAAAAGCAGGTCACGGAAGGTAGTCATTTCCTAGGCCGGTATCTTCCCTGACAAAGGTCAATCTTTACCTTAACGAGCCTGTCTGTTGTCTTTGCATCTACCTTAACACACCTTTGGAATGTCAGGGTAAACCCCCCTCCCCACCCCCAGACTCCTCAACCACTCACCAGAGCAGAGACCATAAATCCCCTCATTGTTATTGTCATTGCACTAGTGTTGACTGCTAGCTGTCCTGTACCCACCTGTCAAAGAAGTGTCTGTTCCTTATACTTTTTATCCAGTCCTACAGATTCCTCCCTCCTTTGTCTTCTCCAACCTAAAAGCCCTAAAAGCTGATCGTGGAGGGCAGTCACATCCTGTCCCTGTGTACCTGACAAAGGTCAATCTTTACCTAAGTGAGCCGGTCTATTGTCTTTGTGCATCTAAGACAGCCTTGGGTAAACTACAGCCCGCAGGCTGGGCATTTGAAATGAATAAAACTAAAAAAAAAACAAAGACCTTACCCTTTTATGTAATGATGTTTACTTTGAATTTATATTAGTTCACACAAACACTCCATCCATGCTTTTGTTCCGGCCCTCTGGTCCAGTTTAAGAACCATTGTGGCCCTCAAGTCAAAAAGTTTGCCCACCCCTGATCTAAGATAACAGACCCTTAGACTATCAGCTTCATCTCCTTTCCAGACCTCTCAGGGCACACCCGCTGCACCAGAGTGTGAGACCACAGAACCCTCATTATTACCTTGCTGCCCAGATACATTAGTTGTTAACTATCCTGTACCCACAATGTAAAAGCACTTGCCTCTTCATTGCACCCAATGTCAAAGGTCTCCCTGCTTTGCTTTCTCCCCCTTCCGTAATCTACCACCAACGGACTTCATGTGCCCTCCCGACGTCGTCTCCTTTTATTCTAATGCATAAAATGAGCTGTAAGACTGCCATTCTGCAGAGCATTTTCTCAATCCGTTGAGGTTTTGCTTCCTGGCAAATGTCATCAGTTTGGCTCAAATAAACCCTTTAAAATTCTCCACGGGTTTGGACGTTTCTGACATTAATACTTTGAATTCCTTCCTCTACCTGAAATGAAAGGAGGCTGGCATTTCAGCCAACCAGCCAAGCAGAGCCCTTCCACTCTCCCAGATGCAGTGCTAGAGGCAGAATTCCTGCTTGTGTCAAAAATCGGTATCAATAGTGGGATCCTGCTTTCAGGCAAAAAAGAAAAAAAACACAATACAAAATGCTCCTGCCCCTGGGATGGGCCCTGAGGCTACAAAGCCCCCCGAGGCCAGAGCAGAAAGCTCACAGCAAAGCAGCCCATGTTGGGGAGCCCTGGACTCCATCTTGAGTGAGTCTTTGGGTGCAGAGGCCTCTGGGGACATGTGGGTACCTTCCTAGGTGCCTCTGACTTGGAGGACGGGGTGGCTGGCAGAGGCTGAGGAAGAGCTGCAGTCCGGCCTTGGGGAGGCTCTGAGTGGCCACCAGACCTGCAGGTCTGCGGAGGGAGCCAGGGTGGAGAGCCTTGGCCGGCCCTGGTGAGACCCCAAGGCTGCCAAGCCCCTTCGGGGCCTGGTGCATGCAGAGAGATCACTAACACCATCCCAGACGCAATTACTTTGAAAACAATTTCCTTCCTAGAGTGGAAGGCTCCCCTGGGAAGCCGCTTCCCCTGGCCGGCTAGGAAGGGCCAAGGGAAATGGGAAAGATGTGACTGGCCTCGGATTCAGGGACCATGCGGGGGGTGACCCTCTCTCTGGCTCCCAGGCTTCTGTTCTCCTCAACTTCTGAGCAGGCTCACAGACACCCCACCCTCAAGCCAGCCCTGCTCCAGCTCTGACATAACAGCAAGGCCCGTGGTGGGAGCCGGGGCTGAGCGGCCAGAGCTGGAGCAGGTCTGCAGGTGGAGGTAGCAATGTGGACAGCACTCCCGAGTAGCCCTGTGGACTCTGGCAGGAGTGGGTTCTGTGACCCCCAAATCCACTGTCCTCAGGCCTGGGTCTCTCATCGTACAGACGGAGGGTTTGGACACGGTGACCTCTGAGGCTGGAGGTCCAAGGGAGGAGCTGGTTTGCAGCAGCCTGAGCCCCAAATACCACCCGCCAGCACCCGGATGCTCCCAGCCTTGAAGTGCTCTTCTGCCCTCATTTGAAAGAGCAAAGGCACAGACTCAGCCTGGGCGGGAGGTTCAGGGAGGCAGGTTTAAAACCAGCACGTGAGAGACTCCGCTGCCGACATAGATCGGAGCTCCCTCCTCAAAATCAGGAAAAGGACTCTAGAGGGCCACAGTTGGGGAGATGGCTTTCAAACGCCTTTGAACAGGCACATGCAACCGGCCTCGGGGACCCCGTCCTGCCCTGGGCAGGGCTGATGGCAGCCTTCCCAGGCCCGGCGCTGGACTCAGACCAGTTGTCAGCTGGGGCACTGTGGGGCAGCCAGATGGGAGCTGGTTGGGGTGGGGGCGAGGGGTGGGTGGGGTTTGCTTTTCTTGGCTCCAATGGTAGGAAAAGCTGAGAAGGTGTCTCCAGGGAGGAAGCTGGCCAGCTGGCAGGAATTCTCCAAAGTATTCAGAGGACGGGAACCCCACTGCAAACAGGAAAGTCTGGGCCACATCTGAGGGTGTCTGGGGTGGGGATCACCACCAGGCTCACCCCTAGAGGGGCGGTGAGCCCGCCCAGCGGAGCCGCTCAGCCACCAGCACTCAGCCTCATGGTGGGCTGGGGGCTCTGACCCAAACGGCCAAGCCACGCCCAGGACCTGCAGTCGCCCCGACCCCGGGGATTTGGAGGGGGCGCTGGATCTGGGTCCCATGTTCCTGACTTCCTCTGGCTTGAAAGGAAAGAGTTCGGACCCCGTCACTGGAGATGGGGGCTTGGATCTTAGATCTGCCACTTTCCTCCCTGACTTCCTTTCCTCGACTATAAAATCAACCCCTAATTCCCGGCGCTGTGAGGATCAATGGCTAAGAACAGGCCGGACTCATGGTCAGCCCTCAGTAAGCCAGTCACCATAAGAGGAGACAGGAAGGCCCATGCCCACCCAGGACCCGGCCCCCCGCCTGTCACGGGGTGAAACCCTTCGCCGGCGAACTACTCGAAGTCCTGTTATTATCGCCTCCTTTCCCTGTGGGAGATATTAACTTTGGAAACCATAACTAAATTATAAGATTTCACTGGGATTGGCGTAACTGATCGAATTTCCTAACAGTTTCTGCGAGTTCCAGATTTTTCAAACTAATCATTTACTGAGGGCAAGTAAACATTTCTTAAGTTGGTGCTGTCCTGGTTTGGCCCCGGTGGTCACGGAGCTGGCTGTCGGCCCTGCACCCCCTCACCAGCCCCCCCGCCCCCCCGGGCCTCTGCATCCACAGGACTGTGACCTCCCCAGCGGCCAGGCCTGCACTGACAGCCACTGGCGGAACCCCTCTGCTCAGCGCCCACTGCAGGAGCCTTCTCTTCACAAAGCGGCAACCCCCCCCAGGAAACAGTGCTTTGGGGGGCCTCTTACTTGTACACTTTGGTGTTGTACGTCTTCTCCCCAGGGAAGCCGAACATGCCGCAGACCACGCGGGAGTTCTTGGCCGTCCAGTGCTTGTCACAGATCTGCTTCCAGGCCTTGCCCTCCTTCACCTCCACGTAGCCCTCCGTCACGGGGGTGCGCTTGCGGTAGGCAGAGAGGATGGCTCGGATCCGGATGTCCTCCACCTGGATGTTCAGGTTCTGGGAAGGAGGAGGCACCGAAGGACATGGTTACCTTCCTGGCCCGGTGTGGAGAGGGGTTTTGGCTAGCCTCCTCCAACCCCGGGCCCTGCAGGGGCCACGGGTACTGGCCAAGAGCACACAGCACAAGGCCGTGGTGATAAAGCATCATGCAGGGAGGCAGTGTGACTGCGGGGACCCAAGGAGAGGGAGCAGGGGTGACCTGGGCCATCAGGAGACTAAGAGGGCCCAGCAGCCTCTCCCACGTCCCACCACAAAGCCTGGGGAGAGAGGCAGCAGCCCTCCTGCAGGCTCTCGAGCTACAGCAGAAGAGAGAACATGCTCTTTGAATTTTCACGTTCTACATTATAACTAATTTGGATTTTGTATTTTACTCCAAAGCACTGTGTGTGTATGTGTGAGTGACTGTGTGATTGTGTGTGTGTATGTGTGAGTGACTGTGTGATTGTGTGTGTGTGTGTGACTGTGTATGATTCTGTGTGTGTGTGTGACTGTTATTCTATGTGTGTGTGTGTGTGACTGTGTGATTCTGCGTGTGTGTGTGAGTGACTGTGTGATTCTGTGTGTGTGTGTGTGTGTGTGTGTGTGTGTGTGTGTATCTTTCCTAAGACTGAAGTTTCAGGCAGAGGAGCCTCAGCTACCCTGAGGCTGATGGTGCCACCTTGCAAACCACCCAGTCAGTATCTGGGGTCGACATTTCTAAGTGAGAACATCCCAGGAGAGTAGGGGTAGGGCTTGGAGAGAAGCATGGAGGGGAGTGTGTGCAGGGACCCAGGCCTGCTTAGTGGGGGACACGCCCTGGGGACCAGGAGGTAATGGTGGACACAGTCTGTGGCAGGAAAGGGAATGATTCTGAACGCGTGGAGGCCTTTGGAAAGGCCCAGACTCACCCCCCAGCCCCACCCGTCATTCCGAGACAGTGAGTGAGAGAGGCGAGAGGCGGGTCCTGGTGGAGGAGGCAGAGGAGGCTCAGTGGGGGGCAGACTCCTGCCTCACCACAGCTGGGGGTGAGCTCTCCTCCCCACTCCCCAACCCTGAGCAGCAATGTCCCTGCCCCACGCCTCCTCCCGGGTCAAAGGGATTCGGTAGAAGGACAGGGGCCTGGAGAGGCCACGCTGGGTGAGAGGAACGGGGGCTACCCCGGAGTTTATGCTTTTCCGAGGCTCACCCAATCGCCCTCAAACACCGTGCTCCCTGCTAACCTCTCACTTCCAGCCCCTCCTCTCTGCCCCTGCCGCTGCACATGGAGCCACCAGCAGCTCTGCAAGGCTCCCTGCTGAGCCCCTACCTCCATCTCCCCCTCCATCCATCGGCCACAGGCCAGCCACCAGAAAGCTCTTTGTAATCTTGTCCCTTGACCGCCCGCTCGTGCCCATGTAGCAATGCCCAATTACTTAGAGAGGTGCCCACGGCCCGACATGACTGATTCTGCCTCCCCTCCAGCCGCCCGCTGTTCCCAGCCCCACATGTATACTCGGATCCAACGAAATGAAAACTGATAACAGCTACTGCGCGTGAGCCCCACAGTGAGGCTCCATGTGCCTTCCCTCGTGTCGCCCTCACACTGCAGAACAAGGTGCATTAGAGCTGCTGCCCTCCCATGATCCAGAGGAGAAAGCTGGTTGGCTCTAACTGCCTCCCCAGGACCACCTAGAGGCAGGGCGCCCAAGGTATGTGGTCAGGAGCTCTCTGACCTGGGCTGTGGGGAAGAGGTGGGGCCGGGCTTGGCAGGGGGGAACCCAGAGACTCGAGCCACATGCCGGCAAAGGTGCAAACGCCAATGAACCACAAGGTTGAAGAGGGCCATTATTTGGGTGCCCAGGCATCCGTGTCTCCTCACCACTGGCTTCAGGGTGCAAAGCCAGGCCCTGCCCACCAGTCCTGCTGGGCGGCGAAAGTGTGTGGCTGGTGGTGATGGCATTTGGCCCTGGTTCCTCTCCACGTGGAGTGGAAGGAAGGCCGCCAGTGGCAAGATGATGTTGGCCAGCTTGGATCCCAGATTCTTTACAGCTTCCATTCAGGCCACAGGACCCGTGCCACCAAGACACGTGGACAGAGGCGAGCCAAGAAAGGGCCTGACTGAGGTCTAAACCAGCCGCGGGCCCGGCCCCTCCTGCCTCTCCTCACCTCGGAAGCCAGGCTGGAATTCCAGCCAGCGATGCGTAATGCCCAGAAGGAAAGTTACCGCTGTAACATCAGCTCTGTGGCTTCACAGGGCAGGCAAACCCCAAGGACTTTATTACATTCACAGATCCTCCCTTCTCACCCCACCCCACACCCCACCAGGTGTGAAATGTGGACGTCAGCACCCCAGCTACAGCAGGAAAAGG